ATTTTTAGTAGAGACAGGGTTTCACCATGTTAGCAGATAGTCTCGATCTGCTTGACCTGTGATCCACCCGCCTCGGCCTCCCAAAGTGCTGGGATTACAGGCTTGAGCCACCGCGCCCGGCCTGTCCCCCATTTCTTACACACATGGAGTGTGATTGTTACTAATGGAGCGTGTCCAGGTTCTTGGCATTTTGAACAAAGAATTGGACAAAAGGCACAAAGCAAGGAATGGAAGAAGCACCTAAAGCCGAGATTTACTGAAAGTAGAAAGTACACTCCACAGAGGGGTGGGGCTGAGCCTAGGGAAGATCCCCTTCACAGAATTTCCTGGGGTTTAACTACCCTCTAGAGGTTTCCCATTGGTTACCTGTTGTACACCCTATGTAAATGCAGTAGTGGCCTGCAAGCAGTCTGATTGGTTGTGAAAAGCAACCAATTAGAGGCTGACTTGAAGTTACAAAGGTTATACCCTATGCAAGCATCTGGTTGTGGAAAGCAACCAACCAGAGACTAAAGTGAAGTTACAAAGTTACAGTTGATGCAAATGACGACTTGCCCTGCCGGCCTCCTATAATCCCAGCACTTTGGGAGGCCGAGAGGCGTGGATCACCTGAGAGACAAGCCTGACCAATATGGTGAAACCCCATCTCTACTAAAAATACAAAGAGTTAGCCGGTGTGGTGGCAGTTGCCTGTAATCTCAGCTACTCGGGAGGCTGAGGCAGGAGAATCGCTTGAATCTGGGAGGCGGAGGTTGCAGTGATCTGAGATAGCACCATTGCACTCCAGCCTGGGCAACAGAGCCAGACTCTGTCTCAAAAAAAAAAAAAAAAAAAAAGGCCGGGCGTAGTGGTTCACGTTTGTAATCCCAGCACTTTGGGAGGCCGAGGTGGGTGGATAACCTGAGGTCAGGAGTTCCAAACCAGCCTGGCCAACACGGCGAAACCCCATCTCTACTAAAAATACAAAAATTAGTTGGGCGTGGTGGCGGGCACCTGTAATCCCACGTACTCATGAGGCTGAACAGCAGGAGAATCGCTTGAACCCGGGAGGCCGAGGTTGCAGTGAGCCCAGAACATGCCGCTGCACTGCAACCTGGGCGATAGAGCGAGACTCCATCTTAAAAAAAGAAAAAAAGGCCGGGTACGGTGGCTCACGCCTGTAATCCCAGCACTTTGGTAGGCAGAGGCGAGCAGATCACGAGGTCAGGAGATCAAGAACATCCTGGCTAACACGGTGAAACTCTGTCTCTACTAAAAAATACAAAAAAATTTGCCGGGCGTGGTGGGGGGCGCCTGTAGTCCCAGCTACTCCGGAGGCCGAGGCAGGAGAACGGCATGAACCCGGGAGGCGGAGCTTGCAGTGAGCGGAGATCGCGCCACTGCACTCCAGCCTGGGCGACAGAGCGAGACTCCGTCTTAGAAAAAGAAAACGAAAAGACTTGGTCGCAGTCAGTCTGATTGGTTGCAGGAAGCAACCATCAGGGGCTGAAGTGAAGTTACAAAGTTATGCTCCTGTGCAAACGTCTGATTGGTTGCAGGAAGCAACCAATCAGAGATACTTTCAATTTTCCGTCTGGGACGCAGCAAAAGTGGGAGTGGTGGTTTGCAAACTGAGTAGCCTCCCATCCTTTTGTTTGTTACTTAAGTGTGGAAAGTTAGGGTTTTCCTGTTGATTTAGTTCTGGAAGTCAGCATGAAAATTGGCCTTAGGTTCCCTGCCTCCAGACCTTATTCTCCGGCCTCATGATGACTTGATAGCAGATTTATGGCGATTAAAGATGAGAAGAGGCCGGGCGCGGTGGCTCAAGCCTGTAATCCCAGCACTTTGGGAGGCCGAGACGGGTGGATCACGAGGTCAGGAGATCGAGACCATCCTGGTGAACACAGTGAAACCCCGTCTCTACTAAAACTACAAAAAACTAGCCGGGCGAGGTGGCGGGCGCCTGTAGTCCCAGCTACTCCGGAGGCTGAGGCAGGAGAATGGCGTGAACCCGGGAGGCGGAGCTTGCAGTGAGCTGAGATCCGGCCACTGCACTCCAGCCTGGGTGACAGAGCAAGACACCGTCTCAAAAAAAAAAAAAAAAAAAAAAGATGAGAAGAAATGGTAACAGCAGTAGGCAAAAAATTGCCCTAGTTTCATGTTCTGACTGTGATAGTGGCTACATGACCTTGACAAATCACTGCATTTGTAAAATAAGAACACATCTCTGTTTCCTTTCACTGGGGAATTAAAGGAAAAGTGAGATTATGAAGAAATACCATGAACTTTCAGAAATAATGAAAGTGTATGCTAAGTGAATGTCTAATTATAGAAACGTATAATGCCTTTGTTGTCCATTTTGCCCTGAGCCACATTTTAATGCAAATTTACTTAGACTTGGGGGAGAAGGAGAGGGAAAGAAAACCAAACAAATTCACTTAGTCTTATCCAAGAGAAAAAAGAATGGGACCTACCTAGGCTGTTAGACCAAATAATTTCTGTAATTTACCTATTCACTTGCTTGATAACTGCTGTTACTTCCGTCTCTAGTCAGGGAACCTTGTTTTGGGAATCAGATTTGCTTCCGTTTGTTCAAATATATGGGGATAATTGTTTTGTTTTTTTGTTTTGTTTCTTTTTTAGAGTCTTGCTTTGTTGTTCAGGTTGGAGTGCTGTGGTGCGATTTTGGCTCACTGCGACCTCCTCCTACAGGACTCAGGTGATTCTCGTGCCTCAGCCTCCTGAGTGGCTGGGATTACAGACGGTACACCACCATGCCTGGCTAATTTTTGTATTTTTAGTAGAGACAGGGTTTCGCCGCATTGCCCAGGATGGTCTGGAACTCCTGGCTTCATGTAATCCACCTGCTACGACCTTCCAAAATGCTGGGATTACAGGCATGAGCCACTGTGCCTGGCCAAGTGTCAATTATTTTTTGACTGTTGTTTGTATTTATTTATTTATTTATTTATTTTTGAGATGGAGTCTCACTCTGTCGTCTAGGCTGGAGTGCAGCGGTGCAATCTTGGCTCACTGCAACCTCTGCCTCCTGGGCTCAAGCAATGCTCCTGCCTCAGCCTTCCAAGTAGCTGGGATTACAGGTGCGTGCCACCATGCCCAGCTATTTTGAATTTTTAGTAGACACAGGGTTTCACCATGTTGGCCATGCTGGTCTCGAACTCCTGACCTCAAGAGATCCACCTGTCTCGGCCTCCCAAAGTGCTGGGATTACAGGTGTGAGCCACCACGCCCAGCTGATTATGGTTTTTATTATAAAGCATAACTTCCTAAGTGTGTATGCTTCATTACTTGTTGATGGGTAATCTGGGCTAGCAGTTAATTCACATGGTAACAGATGGTAAAGCTAGATCACAGTCTTTAATAATAGGGAAATAGAGCATCCTCTTTAATAATAGGGAAAAGATTTACTGACATTTTTAGGCATAACAGTTTTCTGTTGACAGCTCCTCAATAGCTTGTCTATGTTCTCCAGAATCCTGGGGCTTTCCTTAAGGAATAGTCGGGTGTTGTCAGTAAATTAATTTATGTTTTTACAGTTACTATTCTTGTTTCCAGTGTTTAATTTTTAAATTTTTCAGTTATCCTTCCATATTAAGTTTATTTAATTATTTAATCTCTGAAAGTAGAATTAATTCAACTAAATTAAAAGGGACAGTTTTTAATAGGCATCTAATTTGCATGCTATTTACAGAAAACCTTTTTAGTATTTCAGTTTTAGAAATTTGCTTTAGATTTTGCCATCTTAGTATGTCTTTATATGGTGTATTGTTTTGGTTTTATTTTGGTAAAATATACATAATTTTTTTTTGTTTTTTGTTTTTTATTTTTGTGACAAGGTCTCACTCTGTCACCGAGGCTCAAATGAGGTGGGATGATCTCGGCTCACTGCAACCTCCGCCTCCTAGGTTCAAGTGATTCCCCTGTCTCAGACTCCTGAGTAGCTGGGATTACAGGTGCCCACCACCCTGCCTGGCTAATTTTTGTATTTTTAGTAGAGACGGGGTTTTGCCATGTCGCCCAGGCTAATCCCGAATTCCCGACCTCAGGTGATCCACCTGCCTTGGCCTCCCAAAGAGCTGGGATTGCAGACATGATCCACCACAACTGGCCAGTATGTTTTTTTATGGTGTATTGTCTTGGTTTTATTTTGGTAAAATATACATAAGATAACGTTTACACTACTAACCGTTTTTTTTGTGTGTTTTGGTTTTTGTTTTTGAGACGGAGTTTTGCTCTTGTCACCCAGGCTGGAGTGCAATGGTGCGATCTCTGCTAACTGCAGCCTCCGCCTCCTGGGTTCAAGCAATTCTCCTGCCTCAGCCTCTGAGTAGCTCGGATTACAGGTGCCCGCCACCACACCCAGCTAATTTTTGTATTTTTAGTAGAGACGGGGTTTCGCCATGTTGGTCAGACTGGTCTCAAACTCCTGACCTCAGGTGATCTGACTGCCTCAGCCTCCCAAAGTGCTGGGATGACAGGTGTGAGCCAACGTGCCTGGCCAGAATATGCTGTATTATAAAGAATCTTACATGTTACTTGATGCCTGTGATCTGTTTTCTTAGTAAGAAGAGGAACTCTCCACTCAGCCTCAGTTCACTGCACCCACTCTTTTCTGTATCAGGATGTTCAGGGGAGAAGAGAGCTTGGCACCTCTTTCCTGTGTTGAGTTGTGGTTGCCTGTCACTGGGTTTTAAAGTGCCTTGCCTCCTCTTCCTGTTACTTGGGAGAAATTTCACTGATTCTGGGTGTTACCTGGATTTGTTTGGGGTGTGATATTGATCCAATTTTCTGGAAATAACAATACATAGAAAGTTAGGGGATGGATCTTTATCTTATGAGGGTGTGGGACAAGTCAAACACTTAGTTTCTGAACCTTATTTTTTTCTCTAGTGCAAGAAAACTGCAAATTAGGCCACCCATGAGGGGCCCTCACAGCTTTGGCTATGGGTTTAGGACACCCGTTTTCTACCACTCACTTTCTTCTTTCTTCTCTTGCACAGGGATCATGGCCCAAGTTGCAATGTCCACCCTGCCCGTTGAAGATGAGGAGTCCTCGGAGAGCAGGATGGTGGTGACATTCCTCATGTCAGCTCTCGAGTCCATGGTGAGGTCTTGTGTTCCATCATTCCATAGTTGGGTAGGCCTGCGCTCTAGATAAGGTTGATTTGTTTTTGTGGAAGATAGAATTTTATGGTTTTTAGTTTTAATGAGTAGTTTTTCTTTTCTTTTTATTTTGAGACAGTCTTGCTCTGTCGCTCAGGCTAGAGAGCAGTTGCAAGATCTCAGCTCCCTGCAACCTTTGCCTCCTGGGTTCACACAATTCTCCTGCCTCAGCCTACCGAGTAGCTGGGATTACAGGCACCTGCCACCACACCCAGCTAAGTTTTGTATTTTTAGTAAAGATGGAGTTTCACCATCTTGGCCAGGCCAGTCTCGAACTCCTGACCTCTTGATCCACCTGCCTCAGCTTCCCAAAGTGCTGGGATTATAGGCGTGAGCCACCACCCCGACCAATGAATAGTTTTTCTTCTTGAATAATAGTTACGGATTTTAAGCCTTTCACATCACATTTTATTATTTATTTATTTATTTGAGACAGAATTTTGCTCTTGTTGCCCAGGCTGGGGTGCAATGGTGTGATATCGGCTCCCTGCAACCTCTGCCCCCTGGCTTCAAGCAATTCTTATGCCTCAGCCTCCCGAGTAGCTAGGATTACAGGCACGTGCCACCATGCCCAGCTAATTTTTTGTATTTTTAGTAGGGACGAGGTTTCACTATGTTGGTCATGCGGGTCTCGAACTCCCGACCTCAGGTGATCTACCTGCCTTGGCCTCCCAAAGGGCTGGGATTACAGGCGTAAGCCACCGCACCCGGCCGAAATCACATTTTTATTACCATGCTTCAGAGTGTTTAATTTTTACATTGAATCTCAAATAATTTTCTACCATTATTTTAGGCAGTCATTTGTTTTGCAAGTGTTAACTTTGAATTTATGTATAATATTAGCAATTACTCAGAGTGAGATTGTATACTAGAATATGGTGCTTGAGGTTTTTTGTTGTTGTTGTTATTAATGTTTTTTTTTTTTTTTTGATACGGAGCCTCACTCTGTTGCCAGGCTGGAATGCAGTGGCGTGATCTCAGCTCACTGCAACCTCCATTTCCTGGGTTCAAGCGATTCTCCTGCCTCAGCCTCCCAAGTAGCTTGGATTACAGGCGGCTGACTGCCACCACTGCCGGGTAACTTTTTGTATGTTTAGTAGAGATGGGGTTTCACCGTGTTGATCATGCTGGTCTCGAACTCCTGACCTCCGGTGATGCACCCACCTCGGCCTCCCAAAGTGCTGGGATTACAGGCGTGAGCCACTGCGCACCGCCTATGAATCTTATTAGGAAGCAAATTTCAGTAGATTTTGAGAATTCAGAGTATTTACTGTCAATGTGTTTTGTTTTTGTTATTTTTTTGACTCTCATGTCTCTGTATCTATTTTGAGAAAGCCATTCAAGATGCACATAAGGCCAGGTACGGTGGCTCATGCCTAATCCCAGCACTTTGGGAGCCTGAGGCGGTGGATTACCTGAGGTCAGGAGTTCGAGACCAGCCTGGCCAACATGGTGAATCCCTGTCTCTACTAAAAATACAAAAAAATTAGCTGGGGTAGCAGCATGTACCTGTAGTCCCAGTAACTTGGAGGCTGAGACAGGAGAATTGCTTGAACCCGTGAGGTGGAGGTTGCAGTCAGCCGAGATCGTGCCACTGCACACTAGCCTGGGCGTCAGAGTGGAACTCCGTCTCAAAAAAAAAAAAAAGTGCCCATAAATATTTTGTTCCCAGGTTATTATGGTGGTGTTATTTTTTGGGGGGAAGACTGGAATCACCAACCTTTTAAATAATGTTATCAGTAAATGATCCAAGGTCTATTCATTAAATGGAATACTATATACTCTATAACATTTTTAAAGAATATTTAATCTTATAGAAATATATACTTAGTTAAAGTCAGTAAATACTCTGCCCACCTAAAAGTGATTCTGTCTGTGTGTACCCAGGGGAATACTTCTGGAGGTAGGGATTATGTAATGAATGCTGTAGTGTGGGTTTCAGATCCCTCCTCCTTTTGTACTGATGGCACTTACTGCCGCAGGTGCCATGACTGTTTGAGCCACCTTTCACAAGTTTCTACTCTTTCCTTGGGGAGGGCCACGCCAGCTCCTAGCTCTGGGTGCAGCTACATCAGTGTTCAGTGCTTCCGCTGTCCAGCCCCGCCTGCATCCCACCTCCCAAGAGCTGTAAGACAGTGACCCCCAGCAAGCCTGTGTAAACTCTGAGTCTGCTTCTTGGGGGAATCTGATCTATAAGAGATTACAAGGGAAATCTGCTTTTTTTCCTTATAAATTCTGTGTTGTCTTTTGTTTAAAATCAGGCCAAAAACTATTTTGAAAGCGAAGTACCTTTAAAAAATGTTGTTAGATTTTTTTAATTCATCGAGCAGAAACGGTGCCCTTAAATGTCTGCATGTAACATAATATTTGCTGTTTGTATTATAGTGTAAAGAATTGGCCAAGTCCAAAGCCGAAGTGGCCTGCATTGCAGTGTATGAAACAGACGTGTTTGTCGTCGGAACTGAAAGAGGACGTGCTTTTGTCAATACCAGAAAGGATTTTCAAAAAGATTTTGTAAAATATTGTAAGCATTGTATTTTTATCTTTTGCATTTCATTAATTGTAAGCCTAAATATTTATAGGTAAGACAATTATATTTTCTTTCTTTTTTCTTTCTTTTTTTTTTTTTTTTTTTTTGAGATGGAGTTTCATTCTTGTTGCCTAGGCTGGAGTTGCAGTGGTGCAATCTTGGCTCACCACAACCCCTGCCTCGTGAGTTCAAGCGATTCTCCTGCCTCAGCCTGCCTAGTAGCTGGGATTACAGGCATGCACCAGCATGCCCAGCTAATTTTGTATTTTTAGTAGAAACGGGGTTTCTCCACGTTGGTCAGGCTGGTCTCGAACTCCCAACCTCAGGTGATCCGCCCACCTCGGCCTCCCAAAGTACAGGGATTACAGGCGTGAGCCACTGTGCCTGGCCAAGTTATATTTTCTTCTAAAGCAGGATGAGGTTTAAACTAGAAAAGATTTTCTGAAATGTTTATGGAGACATTTCAAAATGCTCCAAAGGAATCAACGAAATATGTCAGGATAGATACTGAAGAGTTAAGAAAAATGGTAATGTTTATTGTCCAGTGTTCCTTGCCTGGCTTTACTCTGGATTAATGAGATACATTAGAGAGAAGGTAATGAAGGTAGAGAAATTTTGAATAGATTAAAAGTTTTACTTAGGTAAGGAGTTACTTTCTTTTTTCTTTCTTTTTTTTTTTTGTGAGACGGAGTTTCACTCTTATCACCCAGGCTGGAGTGCAATGGCGTGATCTCGGCTTACTGCAACCTCTACCTCCCGTGTTCAAGCAATTCTTCTATCTCAGCCTCCTGAGTAGCCGGGATTACAGGTGCCCACCACCATGCCTGGCTAATTTTTGTAATTTTAGTAGAGACAGGGTTTTGCCATGTTGGCCAAGTTGGTCTCAAACTCCTGACCTCAGGTGATCTGCTTGCCTTGGCCTCCCAAAGTGCTAGGATTTCAGGCATGAGCCACCACTCTTGGCCTTTTTTCTTTTTTAGAGATGGGGTCTCGGTCTGTCACCAGGCTGGAGTGCAGTGGTGTGATCTCAGCTCACTGCAACCTCCACCTCCCATGTTCAAGCAATTCTTCTACCTCAGCCTCTGGAGTAGCTGGGATTACAGGTGCGCACCACCATACCTGGCTAATTTTTTGTATTTTTTTAGTAGAGACAGGGTTTTGTCACGTTGATCAGGCTGGTCTTGAACTCCTGACTTCAGGTGATCTACCCACCTTGGCCTCCCAAAGTGCTGGGATTACAGGCATGAGCCACCGCGCCCAGCCAGGAGTTCTTTTCTAGATAAAAATTTGGTGTGTTGAAAATCAGTTATTTACTGTGCAAATAAGTTTGTTTAAGCATATGCAAAATTAAACAGTTCTCCTCCATTCCCTCAGTGGAATCACCTTATCACAGCCTTCAGTGAGTTTTGTAATTCTCATTTAGAGCAGTGGTGAGGTTACCTGACATTAGAACACAGTGTTGAAATTTACTATAGGGTGTTAATACTCACAGCCTTTCACAGTATGACAATTTTCATATCTGTGTTTAACCTAACACTGTTGTAGTTTAATGTAACTATTGATACCAGCATTTCCTTGTCTTGTTTTTTTTTGTTTTTTGAGATGGAAGTCTTGCTCCTGTCCCCCAGGCGGGCGAGGCAGTGGTGGTAATCTCGGCTCATGCGCATGCTCCGCCTCCCAGGTCAAGCCATTTTTCCTGCCTCAGCCTCCCAAGTAGCTGGGACCTACAGACAGCCTGCCACCATACCTTGGCTAATTTTTATACTTTATATAGAGATGGGGTTTCCACGTGGTAGCCCACAATGGTCTTTGATCTCCTGACTTTCGTGTGACCGCCATGCCTCGGCCTCCGCAACAGTGCTGAGATTACAGGCGTGAGCCAACTGCGCCCAGTCCTGATACAGGCATCCTTAAAAACATGCGAAAGGAAACAAAAAAAGCTAGGTA